GTATTGTTCATATTCTAGAATTCAAGCTGGCATTCAAATGAAGTTTGGAAAGAGACATATCTAACTTTGAAAACGTAATTCAAGTCTGTATCTACAGCAGATAACAACTAAGAACATAGCTGTATTGTTGCAGGGAAAAGTCAGTTAAAAAATAATCTGGAGATTCGTTCCCTAATATCGACAGTTGTGGATTTGATGTGATTTGTTTTTTTCTCCCTATAGATTTTTTTCCTGGATTTGGTCACTTTTTAAAAGTTAATTCTTCTAATCAAGATGGGGAAAAAAAAATCCCTGTAGTGTGCAATAAGGTGTTTTGATATCTTATCTAGGAAATTTGTTTAATGAGCTGAGACAGCACACAGCAGAAGTGTGTGCACGGGATCGCTAGAGAAACACGTAACAGAGCCAACAACAACAACAAAAAAAAGCTATGACTTTTTAAACAATAGGAATGGACACACAGGTTCTCTCTCCGTTTTGTTTAAGTTTCTAAAAACAATACAAATTCATAGTTGTTTGGAGGAAAAAAATGTTTCTAAACGTAAATGTGGAACCCTTCCTCACTTTAACACCTGCTGTTCAAAGACCTTTCAACTTCCTGGGCGCACTTGCCGACAGCGCCGACCTTGAAGCTGCGGCTCCTGGAGCCCTGCCTGTGGAGCTCAGCTTCCGTGCCTGCGTGCGGCCCACGTGGGACCGCTGTGTTTTCAGCGGTAACCTGCAGATTCGCCGCCTAGCTGACCAGGATCCCTGGCGTGGAAATGCCACGTGCAAGGAGCAGTCAGATCAGTCGGGTGGCGTCCCTCCTGTCCGTCCCCACGCCCTCAGTCCTAGGCGCTGCATTGGCATTCCACGTAGGGAAAGGAGTTGGATTGATTTGAATCCTACAGCTGCTGAGGGTTAGAGTAGTTTAAATTTTCTCATGAATTTGCATAAAGAGGACTTAATGTCTTCCCCATAATTGCTTGTAGCTTGAATTTGCTTTAAGATGCCTCTGACTACAGATTGAACCAGAACCAGAACTGAACCAGAGGTGTGTACCCTGATGTCTTGGACAGTGAGATGCATTCAGGTTTTGTACAAGAGCTCAAAGAATTAATAATGTGTCTTCTTCTACTTGCGTTTCCTAGCGGGAACAATTCAGAAAGTGAAAAAGTTGTTTCCGCCCGGTTTCGAACCGGGGACCTTTCGCGTGTTAGGCGAACGTGATAACCACTACACTACGGAAACTCATACTGGGCTGTTTCTGCTAAAATGTACTTGATCACTTACAGACACTACCTTGGGTTGACTGACTTTGTGTTACGAATCATACATAATAAGTATTATATTGAGTAATAAACGCAGCTGCCAGGGGAGAGTGGTAAATTCCTATGGATTTTACTCAGCCCGCTATTTGTTGTTTGCTTCAGGCACTGCTCACATTTTCGTAGTAACGTCTCGGAAACCAACAAGCGCCTTCATTACTTTTAAAAAGTTCAGAAAAACAGGGCTCGTCCGGGATTTGAACCCGGGACCTCTCGCACCCAAAGCGAGAATCATACCCCTAGACCAACGAGCCAGCTGTGTGCACGGCCTGGCCAGTACCTTAATCATTTCCTCTCGGCATCATTCATCACCGGAAAAGTACATTATTTGTGGCAAGTTGAAACCATCCTCCTGGTTCCGGGTCGGCCAGCCCAGCCCTCCTTGCTGGTCGCCGCATCCAGCACCGGCTCAGCCGCTCGGTTCCCGCCCGGGGTTTCTCGCGGTGAGGGAAGTGGGGCCGGACGCCCCGGCCGGGAGGGCAGGGAGGCTGCGGGAGCCCCGGGGTGCGGGCTCCTTCCCGGATCCTCCTGCTAGGGCGCTCTCCTCCGCCGGGGCCTCACACTGCAGGAAGAGGATTGGGGTTCTCTGTGTGCAACGTGCGCCAATCCACCCGCAGCTGAAGCACAGGTTTTATTTTTGTGCCACCAGCAGGGACTCACCCTACACAAGAAGACAGTGTGGGAAAGGGGCGATCTCAAGGAGAAACCCCAAACGCTGCGCCCGCGCGCCCGTTTCCGCCCTGGGCTCCACCGGCTCCTCCCTGGCTGTAACTCCGATCCCGCCCGCTCCACCTGCTTCCCCCGACGTGGTGCCCGCGGCCCTGGGCTCTGCCGTCGGCAGTCCGGCTTCTGACCCTCCCGTCCCGGGAGCCATCCGTTCTCGGCCACCCCGATCGGGTCTGTCTGAGTCTCAATTCTCTGCAGGAAGGAGAGAGGCTGCCTCTTGGGGCGGGCTGCACTGCTCATATCTCCGCCAACTTTTTTCTCTCCTCAGGTGCACCGGATTCAGATTCTATTTTGCAACTTTTACCTCAAAGTTAAAGTCAGTAGTACATAACAGCTGGGTGATGTGTTGGTTTAAAAAAAAGCAAATACGTTTATTTAAAAAAAAAACTGAAAATCGTTAAGTCTCGCTAGCACTTTCTTTATATACAATAATCCCTACAGAGAGGGACAGAGAGTCCCATTCTGAAAAGAAAGAACGAGAAAGCACGGAAAATGAGGGTGACCTCCTACTGGGAGCAAACTAAATCCAAAGCAAACAGGGGTAGTAGGGTGCCTTGCAGGAGACACCAGAGCCGTCTGCAACCCAGGAGTCAAGATACGGTGGATGCGACTCTTTCAAAGATAAAAGTCACTTCAGGATACTTGTCTCTTACAGCGAAAGTCACCCGCACTAACATACGATCTTCGGGAAAGCTGCAAATTCTGGTTGGCTTTTCAAGAGAGTTTGACACACAAATACGTAGAGGGGAAAAAAGGGCTTACGCAGGCCCCAGCGAGATTTGAACTCGCGACCCCTGGTTTACAAGACCAGTGCTCTAACCCCTGAGCTATGGAGCCAACCGCGTGGCTTGTCTCTTGAGCAGCAGTAGTTGGTGCTGTTCTCGCCAGTGCGCAGCCGCAGAACATTGCTTCATGCACATGAATGCTGCATGATGAAAAATAGTTACTGTTTTTTTGCTTCAGCTACAGCTGCTTGGCCTGCAGCGCTGACACGTGTCGGTGAGGCTGACCAGCTCAATCCCCCCGGGACCGGCCAGTGCAGGCGCACGCGCACGCGCAGCCTGGGGCAGAAGGACCCGCCGCGTCGTGCTTCCGGTGGGAGGGACTGGGCGGAGCGTTTCTGTCTTTAAAATCAGATGACCTTATAGTCATCCGCTGAACCCCAAGTCTTCTACGACGGGGATTTAGGGTTAGGTTGTGTCCCGCGGAGATTAAGGCTTGAGCTGATGCGGTGGCACCTGGTCGGGCTGATCAGAGGAAGATGGGGTCAAGAGCCGGGGGAGAAGCTTTTGAAAAGAATTAAGGAACGGAAACTTAACGGCATGCCTGGACCCAAGAAGGGGATTTGGCAGGGCCCTGAAAGAATCCACAGAGTGAAGAACAAGATGAGAGTGGTCCCGGTTTAAATCCTCCCCTTCTGAGCACTGGGATCCCATCTGGGCCCCGGCTAGTACTACTTCTGCTGCACTTCCCGTCCAGCTCCCTGCTTGTGCCCTGGGAAAACAGAATGGGCCAAAATTTGGGGACCCAGCGCCCGCGTAGGATCTGCCTTTCCAAGAAAAAAACTAATCAAAAAAATCTTTAGAAAGAGAGAGAGGATGAGGCTATAGATGGGGCCTAGGAGTCCCTTGATGATTGCACACAGGGACCAACATTTAGTTCCCCAAGTCTGCGTGCCCTGGGGCCCTGGGAGGGTCTGTCTGGTGGCAGCTGCCCGGCTTCTCCGGACTCCAGCTGTCAGGGACGTGGGACCAAGAAGCCTCGTGGCACCTCAGGTTGAGAGGAAACTACAGATACCCGTGTCTCACACCAACATTGCACTATCCACGTCACCGCACTGCAGATCAAGAGTCTCCCTCCCTGTGCAGTTCTTACTGTGACTATTGTCACTGGGTTTTTCTTTTCCCATGCTTGTGCATAAATTGATGTAGTTAACTCGGGCAAACATTTTCTGACCAACAATGGCATTTACCTGAAAGCACAGAGCGTCCTTCCTCTCCCGGCCTGGCCCTACAGGGGCACCTGACTTGTTCCATATTCCCTCCTGCTGAGAGTCCTAACAGGTGCTGTGATATGCAGCATTGCGTGCATGGTCCAAAGGGGATTCTGATACTCGTCTAAAAAGCCATACAAACCCCAATGTATTAGATTTAATGCTATCAGATGATTTAATTAGCAAGTGAATGTTAGAAGTCTGGTTTCTTTGTAGAAGTCAGTGGTGTTAAAATACATGCATTATTCACACAGTTGTAGAAATTCTTTCTCTTGACCTGGCACACTGGCTCAATTGACTCAATCCTTGCAAGTGCCAGGATCCCATACAGGTGCTGGTTCACTTCATTCCCATGCAGCTCCCTGCGTGGGGCCTGGGAAAGCCGAGGAGGATGACCCAAAGTCTTGGCACCCTGCACTTGTGTGGGAGGCCCAGAAGAAGCACCTGGCTTTGGATCATCTCAGCTCCAGCTGCTGTGGCCACTTGGGGAGTGAATCATCGGATGGGAGATCTTCCCCTCTGTCTCTCCTCCTCTCTGTATATCTCACTTTGTAATAAAAATAAATTTTTAAAATGCACATGTATCTCCAAATCTGTGTGTTCACACCCCTCACACAGTAAACTCACCGACAGCCGTTAGCAACAGCCCTGGCTCGTATTTCCACTACTGTGCTCAGACAGAGAAGAAACGGACTCAGGCCACCCCGAGCCACATGCTCACAATTTGCATTTCCATCTATCTGTCCCACTTCGCAAAGGAGCACCAAGCAGAGAACAGTTTGTCAGCATCCTCCCACAACAAGACCAAGTCGAAGTTGGGGAGCAGTTAGTCAAGGAAAGAGAATGAACAGTCCTGGCAGGCTTGTTCGCTTTGGGCATACTTTTGGCAAGTTCCAGAAAGGATCTTTAGGAGACACGTGGTTCTAATTGCATGTATAGAATTAGAAGCACCACTTTGTGTTTCCAAATTCCCGAGTCTTTATTCCCCTTCCCCAGATGAGAGTACTTTGGCATTGGAAAACATGGAGCTGAGTAGGAGTGAGGACAAATATTGGTTATCACCGTGGTTAGTTAGGCACTTCACATCGCCAGACTAAGGCGTGGTGGGCAGTAGCAGCGTCGCTGTGCTGTTTTCATGGGCTTTTCCTCACATGGGTAAAGGATCTGTTTCCAGGGGTGGCCCAGACTGTCCTCCGTGCTAAGTGCGTCCTCAGGCTGGCTGAGGGCAGAGCTCTCATGAGCTGGTGAGGCAGAGCTGGCAGCTGATCAAAAGCAAAGCAGAAGACATGAAGCCTGCTAAGCAAAGCCCGGAAGCGCCCCCTTGCACCAGCCCAGGATGCGACATAGTTACAGGGAGCCAACAGCCCTTCTGAGTCAGGACCTAGAGCCGTGCGACAGGAAGCACTCCTGCTGAGAGATGTTCACTTGTCCGCCCTCACTGTTTCCACCTTCTAGTGCAGGCCAGCGCACATGCTGGCAGCAAGGAGCAGGCTCGAAGGTCCAAGGCACCTCTTCCGGTGCTCAGCCGGTCACTCATTGTTCATACTTCCGACGCTGTGTTCCGTATCAGCTACTCTTGGGCAACCCGGGGTAGAAGTGTTGGAGATCTGGCTGGCCAATGGCTCTCAAGGCCAGATGCGCAAGTAGGTGCCAGTGGAGCAGACGGAGAAAAGGGGGAACACCCGCTCCTGGAAGTTGACGCGGAAGGTATAGAGGTGGCGCATATCTTCCACCGCATAGAAGGACACAGCGCCCACCTCCAGGTCAAGCGCCACCCTCACCCTTGACAGATGCCCACAGTTGAGGGGTGTCCGTTCAGGGCTGGTTACAGCCCAGTACTGGCCACTGTTGAGCTGCAGTGCCCAGACACCCTCCTCGGGGGTGAAGGGGGTGAGGCCTTTGCGGCGTACACTCTCGCGAGCCACACCGAAGGCCCAGCCATCCTTGGAACCCACTTCCACCTCCCAGTGGTGCCGCCCAGAGGAGAAGCCACAGGACGCCAAGACACGGGTGTTGGTGTCGAAACGGCAGGGGTGACTGGGCAGGTCCTGCACTCGCGGTCCGAGGCGCACACTCTTCAGATCCAAGGAGAGAAGGAGGCGGGGGTTGGCCGTGTTGGGGTCCAAGGTGAGCTCCGCTGCAGGACAGACATGAGAGATGTCCCTCGGTCAGAATTCCAGCTCAGTTTCTCACCTTCCAGTCCCGTGCACCCTCCCTGTATTTATTTATTTGCTTATTTGAAGGAATGATAGAGAGAGGAAAAAAAGACACAGATCTTCCAAGCACTGGTTCAGTCCCCAGATACTCGCAACAGCCAGGGATGAATCAGGATCCAGCACCTGCATCCACATCTGCCGTCCCTGTTAACGCACCCTCCAGCAGGTGGCAGGGGACGGGTCACGTGCCTGGGCGCCTACCATCCATGCACTGGAGCGAGCTCTGGGATCCTGATTTGGCCTGTCCAGTTACGGCTGGAGCAACTGCTGGACAAACCATCTGAGTGCCTGGTTCGAATCCTAACTCCTCTGCTCCCGACCTAGCTTCCTGCTCACGCATATCCCAGAAGGCAGTACATGTGCTTCTGTTCCTGTTACCCATGTGAGAGACACTGATAGTTTCAGGATCCTGACTACAGCCTACCCCAACTATGTCTGTCTGTCTCTCTCTGTCTGTCTCTCTCTGTCTCTCTCTCTCTCTCTCTGTTTTGTTCCTTTCTTTTTATTTTTTTTTTCAAATAAAAAAAGTGAAAACAGGGCCAGGCGCGGTAGCCTAGTGGCTAAATCCTCACCTTGCACATGCCAGGGTCCCATATGGCCGCCAGTTCTAATCATAGACAACCCGCTTCCCATCCAGCTCCCTGCTTGCGGCCTGGGAAAGCAGTCGAGGACGGCCCAAAGCCTTGGGACCCTGCACCCGTGTTGAAGACCAGGAAGAAACTCCTGGCTCCTGGCTTTGGATCAGCTCAGCTCTGGCCATTGCAGCCACTTGGGGAGTGAATCAGCAGACAGGAGATCTTCCTCTCTCTTCTCCTCTCTGTGCATCTGACTTTCCAATGAAAATAAATATTTTTTAAAAAAAGAATAAAATACAGGGCCCGGCGCAATGGCGCAAGTGGTTAAAGGTCCTCGCCTTGCACGCCCGGGATCCCATATGGGCGCCGGTTCTAATCCCGGCAGCCCCGCTTCCCTTCCAGCTCCCTGCCTGTGGCCTGGGAAAGCAGTCGAGGACGGCCCAAAGCTTTGGGAACCTGCACCCGCGTGGGAGACCCGGAAGAGGCTCCTGGCTTCGGATCGGCATAGTATCGGCCCGTTGCGCTCACTTGGGGAGTGAATCATCGGACGGAAGATCTTCCTCTCTGTCTCTCCTCTCTGTATATCCGCCTTTCCAATGAAAAAATAATAAAAATAAATCTTAAAAAAAAAAAGAATAAAATACAGTGAAAATAAAGTATAAAAAGAAAATTGGGGAATTAAAATACTATATGTTGAAGATAATCAGTTTTAGGTGTGATGATGGTTTTTTTTATTGTTTTTAAAAGTCTTTGTCTTGGGGTCCGGCACAATAGCCTAGTGGTTAAAGTCCTTGCCTTGCACGCGCCAGGATCCCATATGGTCGCCGGGTCATGTCACGGGCTGCCCCACAAGCAGACCTCCGTGCCTGTGGCCTGGGAGGACAGCAGTGGACGGCCCAAAACCTCGGGAACCCTGCGCACACATGGGATGCCCAGAGGAAGCTTCTGGCTTCAGATCAGCTCAGCTCTGGCTGCTGCTGCCATTTGAGGAGTGAATTGGTGGATAGAGGATCTATCTCTCTGGAAATCTGCCTTTCCAATAAAAATGTACAAATCTTTGAAAAGAAAAAAGCATACATCTGGAGCTATCGCCACGGCCATGCATCACCTACAACACTGGCATCCATAGGGGTGCCAATTTGAGCCTATGAGATTCCAATCCAGCTGCTTGCTAATGTATTTTGGGAAACAATGGAGGAAGGCCCAAGTTCGGGGCCCTTGCATCCATGTGGGACACCTGGAAAAAGTTCCCAGCTCCTGGCTTAGGTCTGGGTCAGTCCTGACCTTTGTCATCAATTTGGGAGTGAACCAGCAGATAGAAATATCTCTCCCTCTCTCTGTAACTCTGCCTTTCAAATACAAATCTTAAGAAAAGAAAAAGAGGGCCCGGCGCGGTGGCGCAAGTGGTTAAAGGTCCTCGCCTTGCACGCCCGGGATCCCATATGGGCGCCGGTTCTAATCCCGGCAGCCCCGCTTCCCTTCCAGCTCCCTGCCTGTGGCCTGGGAAAGCAGTCGAGGACGGCCCAAAGCTTTGGGACCCTGCACCCGCGTGGGAGACCTGGAAGAGGCTCCTGGCTTCGGATCGGCATAGTATCGGCCCGTTGCGGCTCACTTGGGGAGTGAATCATCGGACGGAAGATCTTCCTCTCTGTCTCTCCTCTCTGTATATCTGCCTTTCCAATAAAAAAATAATAAAAATAAATCTTTAAAAAAAAAAAAAAAGAAAAGAAAAAGAAAAAGTCCTAACACTGGGGTTTTTATGGAAATTGATTGATATCTGTTATTTACTTCATAATAATCCAGTTGGAAGAAGTGAGTAGTGGTGATTACAAAAATGCTAGCCACAACTGATAATTGATCATAGCTGGTGGTATAGGAAGGTTCGCACAATTGCTATATTCTTTTCTCCATTTTTGTGTTTCATTTTTGTAATATTTATCTTTTTTTAAAAAATTTTAAAAGCAGAGTTACAGAGAAGAAGGGCAGAGAAATCTTCCATCAGTTGCTTTACTCCCCAAGTGACCGCAACAATCAGAACTGGGCCAGTCTGAAACCAGGATCCAGAAAGATCTTCCTGGTCTCCGATATGGCTGCAGGGACCTAAGGATTTGGCCTAGTGTCTACTGCTTCCCCAGGCCATTTCCAGGGAGATGGATCAGAAGTGGAGCACCTGGGACTCGAACTGGTGCCTATATGGGATGTTGGCACCACAGACAGAGACTTCATCTGATGTACAACAGCACCAACCCCATGCTTAACTTTTTTTGTTGGTATTTTCTAAATTTATCCTAATTACTGGAAAGATTAAATGACACAGAAACGGAGACAAAGAAAGAGATCTCCTAGCTGCTGGTCCTCTCCCCCTACGGGTGCAACAGCAGAGGCTAGGCCGAGCTGAAGCCAGGAGCCTGAAGCTCCCTCTGGATCTCCTACGTGGATATCAGGGGCCCGAGGACTTGGGCCATTTTCCTCTGCGCTCCCAGGTGCATTAGCAGGGAGCTGGAGCAGAAGCAGAGCCGTCAGCTCTCAAGCTGGCACTCCAGTGTGCGACTCCTGCATCGCATTCAGCGCTTTAACTTGCCGTGTCACAAGGCGAGCCCTCGACATTTTGTTTATAATAACATTTTCAAATGCGTGCACTTGTTGCGGGCACTATTATGTTCCAGACATTGTCCTAGGCCCTCTGAGTGTCCACAGAGAACAAGACAGCCAACTAGCTCTGCTTTCCTGCAGCTTCCCTTTCCAGTAGGGAAAGTAAATGGCCCACTTAGAAGACAAGAAGAATCAAGATAACAGATTGCAGTTTCTTTTTTATTTTTTAAAATTTGATGCATTTTTCTTGGAAAGTCAGAAATCCAGAGAGGAGAGGCAGAGAGGAAGATTTTCTGTCTCCTGACTCAACCCCCTCCGCCCCCTGCCCCAAGTGGTCACAATGTCTGGAGCTGAGCTGATCTGAAGCCAGGAGCCAGGAGCTTCTTCTTGGTCTCCCATGTGGGTGCAGGGTCCCAAAGGCTTTGGGCCATCCTCGACTGCTTTCCCAGGCCACAGTCAGGAAGCTAAATGGGAAGCAGGGCTGCCGGGATTAGAACTGGAGCCCACATATGGGATCCCGGCACATGCAATGTAAGGACTTTAGCTGCTAGGCTACCGCACTGGACCCAGATTGTAGCTTCATTTTGTGGTTATAATAGGTCTTATTGGCAAGCAAAGACATAAAGAAGGTGAGGAGGCCAGGTCAGCAGCAGTCTGGGACACGTGCATTGCTTGTCAAGAGGTAGCCAGACAGTGCAAAGATCCTGAGGGAGGTGTGTGCTTGGTGCATTCTCGGAGCAACAAGGAGGGTGTGTAGCTTCAGAGTGAGCCAGGAGGAGAGTAAACACAGGCCAGCTTGCCAGCGGCCTTGCCCGGGTGGGAAGGCCCAAGGCAGGGCTCTGAGCCGAAAGCAAGCATCATTGCATTTCATTCAGATTCCACCCAGTTAAAACCGACATAACTTTCTAATCAGCACCAGGTTTGTGCGCCCTCCATCCCCTTCCCCTGAGTATTGGATTCTAGAACTCTGCAGGGATAAGAAGCCTCTTCCACTCCTGTCCTCAGCTCAAATCCATATCTGCAGGACAGGTACTTATTTGTCTTAAAGTGGGGACAGAGGAGAAGAGTCTTATCCAGGATATTGACAAGCCTTCCATAACGTTACTTCTGAACAACACACAGTTTACAAGCCAATGGGCCCCGCTGCTTGATGAGAGTAGCCAACAGGCAGGGCGAGGACAAGCGGAGCAGGAGAGCAGACCGGCAGGGTCCCTGCGGCAGGCCACAGGCAGCAAGCGTGTTCTGGACTCCCTCTCATAAGCCCTGGCCCTACCTTTCTCTTCCTTCTCCAGTTCTCCCCGAAGATCCTCTGGGGAAGAAAAGCAAAGCGTGAATGACAGAGTAGGTGACCTGGCAAGAACACGACCTCTTCCAACACTTACATTCTATCGCCCCTTCCCCCATCTCCCAAACTCCCGTGATCGGGACCTGACATGCAGGTGCTGGGCCACATATGAGGGAAGCAGGTGAGGGGGCGTGCCCTGAGCATCTCGGTTCTGCCTCCTGCCCCGTTCCCTAGCTCCTGTCTAGAGCTGCGCTGAGCTGAGCTCTTCCAGCCTTTTCCTGTCTCAGTCCTGCCTCCCTAGCCCATCAGTCCCTGCAGGCGAAGAAGCTGCATGTCCCAGAGGGGCTGAAGAGATTTTTCACCAGTGCCTCCCCACACCGACCTTAGCACACCCAGGTTCTTGTTTTCTCAAACAAGTTCTGTAAAACATCACTCAGGATGTCTATACTATCACACACCACACTGACACCCACATGTCATGGCCAACTCCAGGCACCTACCTTGGAACTTCTTTAGAAGCCCTTTTAAGACAAAAGTTTTGAGGGAAACATTCCAAACCTTGTTCTTCATCTCAGAAGACACTGTAGTTGGCTTGGGACCAGGAATGTTGCTGCACCTGCAGGGCAGGGATCCTGATGAGGCTCAGAATGCTAAGAAGACCATCCCATGCCCCCTGCGCTGTGAGCACTAGGGAAAAAATGTTCCTCTTGGTAATGGAAAAGGGAAAGCCGGACCTCATATAAGAATACCCACAGCCCGGTGCCTGGCCCTGTACTTGTTAGCACATACAAGAAGTTTCTTTGGAGATCTTCCTAATCTAAATGCTGGACTCAGAACCCTAACGAAGAAAAGAGAGAAGACAGAACAGGTCAACCAACCATCTCAGCTATGATGGACTATGTCAATCAGTGGATTTTTCAAAGACCTCATAGTGCTTGGAGTGGCAAGATTGACAGCGATTCATAACTGTTGCAACATCAAAACCACTCGAGCAAGAACCTCAGAGCATGCCCTACACCCGGGACTTGGGGAGGGTGGGAAATTGGGTGGGCCTTCTCCCTTAATACCCCCCTTTTAAACATGAAGGTTACAATATGGAAAACATACTAGTATTATCCACTTTCCTGTAGCCCTTGAACCTTCTTACTCTAACTAAGTATGTAAAGAATATAAAAATAAATTTTATTAATAAAAAAAAAAAAAGAATACCCACAGCCTCCTCAGAAGGCGCCCAAGGAGAGACCAGGAGATGGAAAATACAAAGAGGGCTCAATGAGAAAGGAGAAGTGTGGAGAGGCCCAGAGAAGTGCTAGGCTCACTCACCTGGTTAGTGTACTTTTGAATTCCTAAAAGGAAAGATGGGGGGAAAAAATCAGTATCAAGGTACCTTTGTTCACCTTCTAGAAAACAGAATTTTGCCCTTGCCCTCTTTCCAAAAGAATCATCAATATGCAGGGACTACAGAGGTAGGGGTTAGCAATGATTTCCAGCTGTGGCTGGCTACCGTGTGTCTCCTGTACGCAAGGGAACCCTGGCCCACAGCACACTTCTGCAGAGCTCACTTCGTTACAGAATCATCTCAGGAGCCAGGCAGTGGAACTTAGTGGAACGTCTGCCTTCCAGACCACCCAAGGTTGGCCAGAGCCTTAATAGAATGTGGTCATTTGGATCAGTGCCTTCTATTTTCTTTTAATTTCTTTATTTTCTTTTTAATATTGTTTGCACATCCCCATAGGGGCCCTTGATTGGGGTGGGGAGGTCAAGTATGGAGGAAGGAGGGTGAGATAAATGTTACAGTTCCTTTTTTTTTCTTGTTCTCCCCCCCCCCCCGGCGCGGTAGGGTTGGAGGGAGTGGGGAGCAGAGAAAAGGGTCCCTCTGCTTTCTGTCTCACCATATCAGCACCCAGGGGTGCAGTCACTCTGTGTCACCTTAGAGACCCCAATATGGGGAAGAATGTTCTAAGGGTGCTGCTTAAGTGGTCTTGATAGGTCTGAGATGTTGCAACCCAGTCTGGCACGGCCAGTCTGGCATGGCCCACCCTGAGTCTAGCATGGCCCACCCTGAGTCTGGCATAGCCAGTCTGGCATGGCCCACCCTGAGTCTGGCATAGCCCATCCTGAGTCTGGCATGGCCCACCCTGAGTCTGGCATAGCCCATCCTGAGTCTTGGCATTTGCTGGCAGGTGCTCCAACCTGGCTCAGCATAGCCTGCCCCCAGTCTCAGCTCTTGCTGGTGGGTGCTGCAGCTTAGACTAGCTTGGCCTGCTCCCAGCCCCGAATCTCATGTGAACTGGCAGGTGTTGCAGCCCAGCTTGGCCTGGCCCATACCCCATCCTGGCTCTCATGCACACCTATGGGTGCTGCAGAATGACCCAGCCCAGCATGCCTCCAGAACCAGCTCATATGGACGTGAATGTTGGATGCTACAGTCTGGCCTTCCCTCAGCCTTGTCCCTCAGCACTCATCAGCAGGAACTGAAGCCTAATAGGAGAGTTCTCAAAATCCCCGTGCCAGGCTTACTCCCAGCCCCTGATCACATGCACTAGCCCCTTGTTGTTGTTGGTTTTCTTTAACAAAGAAAAATAGAACTTCACAAAATCAAAAGTGGTCAGCAAAGGTAGATATTATTTTCTGAGCTTTCTGTTTCAACTATGTGTACCAATATACAAAAATATGATATATTGTTGTGGCTCATTGACGAGAAAGTTTTATTATATTCTTTTCGACCTTCGACTGCAGGAGATCGCAAGCGACTCTAGCCCCACTCTGCTTGCTCCAAGCCATGTAATTTTTAAAAGCACACAAGATTTGACTTTTGTGGCCGATGTTCCCAATACTTCAAACTAAATGACTCAAACTACTGAGTTGAGTTACCCACCTGGAGGAAGTCAAGGTCAGGCTTTCTAACTGTCTCCTGGATCTGGCTGCTGAGCTTGGAAAGCTGGGAAATCTCATCACCAAGCTGGGCCAGGTTTTCATTCTGCTTCTGTGTCACTTCCCTGGACATCTCCTCCAGGCGACCCAAAAGCCGCCCCTCCTGCTCCACCAGGAAGGCCCGGAGTGCCTGGAACTCCGCTCCAACCTTCTCTCTCTCAGCTGCCATCTGCTTCTGTCTCAGGAGGAGAAGTTGGAAAGGTAAGGGTTCCTGGGCATCAAGGCATAATATTTCAATCACATAGTCAGGGCTTCATTCTCTTCATTGCTCCCAGTATCACATTTTCACACACATGCTGGACACACACGCCACTTAGAATACTATCCCAGCTGTGTACTCAGAGAGAAAGATCATCCAACTGTTGGTTCACATCCCAAATGGCCACAATGGCGAGAAGCTGAACCAATTTGAAACCAGGACCCAGGAGCCTCTTCTGGATCTCCCACATGGGTGCAGGGTCCCAAGACTTTGAGCCATCCTCCACTGCTTTCCCAGGCTATAGCAAGATCTGAATAAAAGGTGGAGCAGCTGAGACTTGAACCATCACCTACATGGGATACGAGTGTGGCAAGGTAGAGGATTAGCCAGTTGAGCTATCATGCCAGCCCCAGTATTCTGGTCTTTCTGTTAACAACATACATGGGATTGTTAAGCCCTGGGTTTCAAACCATGCCCTTTATCTTCCCAGCCTCCAGAATCACTGGTCAAATAGACTTGTATTCTTTATAGGTCATTAATTCATTGTGTTGTGGTATAACAAAAGAAAACAAAATAAGACAGCCCTACATGAGGATTTCCTAACTTTGGCACTCTGGAGAGTTGGGGGTCACACCATCCTTCGGTGCATGGACCTGTCATGTGCACTGAAGGATGCTTACTTAGCAGTATCTTTGGCTTCTACCACTAAATTCCAGGAGTATCCCTGTCCTGAGGCTGGCAGCCAAAAATATCTTGACATTTTATTATTATAAACAATATTTGGGCCAGAAATTGGGGGCAGGGTGTTGGGAAAGGATAGAAAGAAAAGATGCTAAGTGATGTTTTGGGGAGCAGGTTCAGAAGAAGTTATCTATGCTGTGAAAAGGCCCTCTGAGTGGCACATGTAAAACTCATTACAGAGGGGCCAGCGCGATGGCTCAGTGGATAAATCCTCAGCTTACTCATGCTGGGATCCCATATGCGCAAGAGCTCATCTCCCAGCTGCTCCACTTCCCATCCAGCTCCCTGCCTGTGGCCTGGGAAAGCAATACAGAATGACCCAGAACCTTGGGATAGCTGGAAGAAGCTCCTGGCTTCAGATTAGCTCAGCTCCGGCTGTTGCTGCCACAGCAGGCAGATCTTTTTCTCTGTCTTCCCCTCTCTTGTAAATCTGCCTTTCCAATAATAAAAAATATTACTTGTATTGGAAAGGCAGATTTACAGAGAGGAGAGACAGATCTTCCATCGCTTCCAAGCCACTTCCAAGTGGCTGGGGAGGCAGGAGCTATTCCAGGGCACAAAGCATTGCCCATATGGGATTCTAGCCACTAGGCTACGGTGCCCGACCCTCTAAAATAATTATTCTAGTACCCCCTCTCACTCTCATTGTCCTAGTTTGTATAGGAAACTGTAAGTCACTTTGTGTAAAATGTACCCCATTATCGTTCTACAATTCATCTGTTCTTACACAGGCACACACTGCAGCCGTGCAGGCCAAGGCCTTGATGCTGGTGGGCTCCCAACCTGGGGAAGCGAGGGTGACTCCACTCACCAGGAGTTCCTTGCTCTCCTTCTCCTCCGTGGACCGGAACACCTCATAGTCCTCCAGTTCCTTCTTCAAAACCTTCAGTCTGGATTCCAAGAGCTCCTGCGGGGGAGAGGGGGCTCGTTGTTGGGAGAGGATGGCAGAAGCTCTCACGCGTGCCTTTCCGGAGCCAAAGGAAGGCTCCGACCGCCTGAGGACGATGCCAGGTGGGAGCCATCTGCGCACACCAAGATGGATAGAGCCTGCATAGTTAACTGCAGGAGACTCGCGTGGCCCGGGAGTCTGGCTTCGGCACAATGCAGGCAGGTACCCAAGGCCCCCCATCAGCCAGTCCACCCCACGTTCTGCTCGCTTCCGCTTTGCTCCCCACTGTCAGAAAGCCGGTTAAATCGGAGCACTGGAGCAGGGTGGGCGAGCCCAGTGAGCGCCCAAGGCTTCCGTACACCCCTTTGCTTAGACTGCCCAGCGAATAAGCTGTCTGTGGGCAGCAGCCTAGACTCAGCCTCCCTGGAGTCTCTGTCCCTGCCGGCTCCTGGCTCCGAGGTCGTCCCACTCCGAGCCACGAGGTGGCAGACGCTGGAAGTGGCAAGAAAGAACTGCAATAGCGCACAACCCGCTAGAGACCCGGTACAGACTGCAGGAAAATTGTCGAGTGCACGGGGTGTCCTGCCTGAGGCTCAGTATTGGTCTCAGTGTTGGAAACACGGTGTTGGGGATTAGAGGGGACCAAACTCAGAGTCGGTGCTCTGCACCCTAGAATAGGAAAGAGGAATCAGGGCTCACCTCAAAGGTTGGACCAATGCGGGAAGTCCTCCAGACCGGCAGAGATGGGACTCACCTTGGCTTCCTGCACCGCCTCGTCCAGAGGCAATACCGCGTGCTCGCGGTGCTCCCGGGCGCGGTCGCACACCACGCAAATCGCTCGCCCGTCGTCCTGGCAGTACAGCTTGAGCGGTTCTCCATGCTGTGCGCAACCCGTCGCGGTGTCGGAGACCTGCGCCTCCGGGGATCCGTTCTTCTCCTGGGCGGCGGCAGGCAGACTGAAGCGCCGCAGCAGCGTGGCCACTGCCGCCAGTTGCCGGTTGGGCCGCAGCTGGCTGGGGCGCACCGGCTCCCGGCACTGGGGACAGGACAGTGGGCGCGGTGGCGCACGGAGCGCACCGGTGGTCCCCAAGCCCGGGCGTTCCCAGCAACGGGCAATGCAGGAGCGACAGAAACTGTGGCCGCACTCGACCGACACAGGCTCCCGGAAGAGTTCTAAGCAGATGGAGCATGTCGCCTCGCTCTGTAGCTCTGTCGCCAGCACCAGGGCCTCTGCTCCGGTTCCGGGACCGGTCTGCGGTCCGACTGCCGCCATGTAAACCCTTAGAGCACCCAGGACGGACGGCGCCGGGAGGCTGCTGGCTTCCTATTGCCCACTTCCAGAGGAAGGGCGGGGCCGACGCCTGGCAGGCAGAGGTTAGCTCAGGGTGCACCTGGCACAGATCCGGGGCCAGAGGATGCACCTCCACAGCTGGCAGGGCAGCACAAATCAATTTAACCACGGGAGAAGACAGGTTCCTGCGCCCCGGCTCTAGGTTTCCCAAGCCCCTACCTTGGCAGGCAACCTCCTCTTTGTCACCCGTTGCCCCAGATCCTCAAGACCGCTCCAGCAGTCAGCTTTGGCAAACAGGCCGTAACAGGTGGGCGCGCGAACCCAGCTGGACGCCACTCCAGGTTGCACTTAAGCCGACCCAGCATGGACAGAATAAGGCACTGGCTCCTGAGTGACAGCGCCAGGTTCCCTGAGCGCAGGTTTGTCCTGGCCGCGGTGCCGAGCTAAACTTAGGGTCTGGCAGCTGGCCCCATTCCTCCACCCCTAAGTTTGGCCTCTGATTCCACTTTTGTTTCCACCTCTCTGACAACTGTCTCCGTGCATTCTGTGTTTCTTTACATTTTTGAACAGTTTTTCCGTCCAACTCGGTGTAATTGTGTCGATGCACCCCGCCACCCGCCCCTCCAAAAAAGCCTCTTATGTTCTGCAGCTCATTTCCACAGCCTACTTCCACTCTCTCATCGCGTGTCCTCTGAGACCACCCAGATCAAGCTTTAAACCCCCACCCTCCTTTGGTAATCGCTCTGGTGACCCACCCACCTCCCCCAGCCCCACTCCCAGTGTCACCAGAGACCTGTAATCCAAATGTTAAGTCCTCACTTCCCAGCCCTTCTCAGCACCTTCTAGAACACTGCCGGGCCACACCTATTACTCCTCCTCTCGGTGTATTCTGCCATTTCCTCTGCCTGCCCTTGCCCGGGCTAACTTGTCTACACTCTGTGTAACTTTAACCACTCTTTCCACTGGTGAAGCCCTGGATCACATCCCAGTCTTCCTCTGCCCAAACTCCCCAGGGTAGAAGTGACAGTCCTTGCCTGTTCTTGGTCCCTAAGCTCCCCACACACCCTCAGTCTTCATCTCGGGTTACTCCCTTCTGCAGACGCCATGCAGCCACAGGGGTCTCCTGCTGTTCCTGCAGTGTCTGGGAGACTCCTCTCTCCCGGCGGCAGTGCTGGCTGCTCCCTCTGCTCGGAGCTTCTCTCACATACCTGAATGACTCACTTCCAGGCTGCCTCAAGTCTTCTTTCAGTACCACCTAGATCATAAAATCTGCTTCAACCACACTCGGTTCAAAATCCTCTCCTTTCCTCACTACTGACTCTGTTTTCTAACACTCTGTGTTCTCTGCAGGGTAAGCTGTAAAAACATAGAACACTATTTTGAATTTTTTTTTTTTTTGCCTTGCCTCAAACCCAGCGTCAGGAGCGATTCTTTAGGTTCAAAAGTCAGAGGACACAAGCGGTTTATAATGAAAACAATTACGCACCGCTTACATCCAATTGCAATATTTAGCTAAGCAGTTCCCGAATATTTTATTCAAATATTTTGTTTTGCTATCACATTCTTTCATTTATATATATCATACTGCACATCGTCTTCTTTGCTTCCCATTTAGGAAAGTTGTAATTCATTTCGCTTGTGATTCCTAGTAAGTTTCTTTTTTCTACACCAGTTTTCTGGTGGGCATCCAAAACGGGTCTTCCCTTTAGTTTTCAGTTGAAAATCAAAGTGGCCCGCTGGCGTCAGCATTGTGCCAAATGATTACTAAGAGAACAACAAGAGCTTCAGTTGCCTGTCTGGGGATGTAGCTCAGTGGTAGAGCGCATGCTTTGCATGTATGAGGCCCCGGGTTCGATCCCCGGCATCTCCACTTGTGTTTTGTCTTCTCCTAAACCTAAAGTTTTAAAATCTGATTCTTTTCTGAACATTTTGCCAACTCCAGAGTATGTATCCTTCGTATCGCTGGCAGGGCCTCGCACCCTCTACTCGCTCCCAGCAGCGGGGATTTTTTGGGGGGTGGGCGTAATTTTTTTTTCTTAATAAAATTCACAAAACGAGTGCCTACTTAATATTCGATTTTCCCCTTCTCTAAGTGTAATTCAAGACAATATGAAAAGGAGTCGGTCTCTGGTAGGATATTGGTAGGATATAAACAGAAAGTGGATGTCAGTGGGAGGCATTGTCATGCGTGCTCGGTGGAATTTCTGCTTTCTTAGCTAATGAGTTTTGCAGTTGTAATACGAGTGAATGCACCTATTCAAGCCTAAACATAATGGAAAAGTTGTTCAATTACAAAAACTCCATAACAGGGGCTCCCAGGTGCCCGGCTAGCTCAGTCGGTAGAGCATGAGACTCTTAATCTCAGGGTCGTGGGTTCGAGCCCCACGTTGGGCGCGTAACTTTTTTTTCTGTCCTGACTTAGAAAATTTTCCAATTTGTGGCTCATTATCCTATGACGACACATGTTTTGTAAGCATTACCATCATGTTCACTGAGATAAAAGTTATGTAGCTATTGCATATCTACTCTGCCAGCGTTTCTCAAGCACTCTTGTAGTTATTTCAGAACCGGAAAATTTATCCTTTTGACTCTTATTTTACTTAGCATAATGTCTTCGAGGTTGTAACACATGTCAAAACATTCCTACATATATGCACCATACTTTCCTCATCCATTCCACTATCAATTCCTTACACTTTTGGCTGTTGCGAATAATGCTATGGATCTGAGTAGGTAAATATTATGATCAAGTATAAGTGATCAGAAATGGATTTGCTGAATCATAAGGTATTTCTATTCATAAATTATTGAGAAACCACCATGCTGATTTCCACCAAGCCTGAATCACAAAATGTATTTTGTTGTATGCTTTCTTCACCAGCTTAAACACTAAAGTTGGAACGATGCAGAGATTATCATGACCCCTGCCCAAGAATGACACACCAATTCATGAAGCATTCCATCTTTTTCAGACACTTGGGGAGTGACCCAGCAGATGAAAGATCTTTCCCAAAAAAAGTAAAAAAAAAATTTTAAAGAAGTTTGAGTAAGTGATATCTTCTACAATTCAAAATCTAAACCATTTGCAAAGATATTCAGTAAGAAGTGTGTCACTCCACTTCCCCTCCAAAGCAACAATTTTCACGCATAAATTCTTCCAGAACCTTTCCTGTAAATATCGTTTTCTTTTCTTCCTTTAAGACACATACAGAACACAATTATAGCTCTTATGTTTTGAGGCTTCCTCCATTTCAAGACACTGAAAATTTCCACAGCCACTTTTTGCAAACTACACAACATTCAACTATGGATACATATTTGTTTATGCAGCACACCACTCCTCAATGGACATTTACATCCTTTTCCATCTTATCTTGTTAGCTGTGGATGCTGCAAGCTGATAGTTCCTCCTCTCAGCCTTGAGGACAAAGGTGTGTCTTAACAACAGTTTCGATGGCAATACTTAAAACTGCTCCTATACCTCACCGGCTGCCCTGTGAAATAACACTTCTGGGAGAGCTCTTGGAACAATGTACAGATGAAAGAATCCCTTCGCCTCTGACCTCTCCTAGGAGCATATCAGGAAAAGACATCTTGAACATTACGATGATGCTTTGTCTATGGTTTCCAATCCTATTCTATGCAACAATATTGCTTTTTCTCTTTTCAGGCCTGTCTCTAAGGAGGTGATCACGTTCTCTTTATTTGCAAAGTCAAGATATCACAAAGCCAACTGAATTATTTATTACATTGCAAATTTTCTTAAACACAAAAGGACGTAAGAAATCAAACGAGTGAATTACAAGCAGTCTTGGCATCATGTGGCGTATCTGCACACCATTGTTATGGTCGTTTTGTGAAGTGGTCTACTGCATGGAAGTTCTTTGAAAAGTTATTTTATATGTAACTTATTCATCAGCTATCCACTTGAGTATTTTCATGTAAAACTTTTATTTGGGGATGGAAATGACCTCTACATTTAATATATTTATGGCTATTACCTAACTAGTCCAAAAATAGTACAGTATCTCTTTGTTTACCCACCACTGGTTTTCTTGTAGTAAACTTGACAAAGTCATTCTCTGAAGGTCTGTGTAGCAGCTGCAGTCATGAGTCAATCATCAATTATGCACTTCATTATTTTATTGCTGTTGACACCATGTAACATTGCTCTGAGCGTACAAGTCCCCCTTACTACAAAGCTGGTGTCCATGAAATCCTGGTGTTCGGGGAAGATGAATTGTAATCAGTCGGGGAGCTAAAATATCCACCAGGGCATCACAATCCTGGGAGACTGCCTGCAAACGGAAGAGCGGCCAAAAAGATGACCCAGGGTGACCTGACCCTCTTTTCTGTGTTAGGGACCAACTGGGTATTTTGGGAAACCTCCCCAGTTTATCACTGTCATTTGAGATGTTTTTTGAGGGTGAGGGGAGATTTTCGCACATGTAAAAGAATACATATTTGCTTTTGATTAATAGCCAATTTCTTACAATTGTAATTTTTTTTTAAATATGGAACCCTTCACGAATTTGCGTGTCATCTTTGCGCAGGGGGCCATGCTAATCTTCTCTGTATCGTTCCAATTTTAGTATATGTGCTGCCAAAGCGAGCACCAATTGTAAATATTTTAAAAATCTATTTTTAGCTTTAACGTTGACTTACAAATATTGTTTTTAACAAAGAAAGCAGTTTTCGAAACAAGAACAATCTTTCACTGGTTTTCTCATAAATTAGGGTCATCAAATGAAATTGTCAAGTTGTCTATGTAGATATTAGCCTATGTGTTGGAGAGGGACTAAAGAAAATAGACATTTTTAAAGAAAAAAAAAATGTGATGGAATGCAGAAGCAGAGCAGCTATTGTATCTAAAGTAACCATTCTTTGTTCAATCACCATGTTCAACCTCCTCCTCTGATGCAGCTCAGTGGGTAGGGCGCCCTGCAATAAAGGGGTCTAATAACGCTGCAGAGAAAGTCCTGGGGAGAATTTTGAAGAAATCTACATCCAGAAAGTTCCCATTCATAACGACCCTGAGAAAGGAGAGGAGGAAAAACATGGGGATCCATATCTATGTCCATGTTCATGAATAACGAACAATTTAAATAAAACTGCACAGTAAAATCTGACGTCCAGGGGGCAGGGGCTGCAGGAGGACAGTTAGCAGGATATCATTTGTATAAGAACAACTGATCGCTATCATTTAAATGAGGCCACTTGATTGGATATACAAAACAAAAAGAGATCCTTTCAGGCTAGGGTTCCTTAGACAGGTTTCTGCGAACTGTGTAAGCTGCTCAATACCTTCTGCCTTTTCCCATGTGACCCTCACTCTAGAAAAGCCTGATGCCACTAATGAATTTTGGCTGTTGACCATCAGTCGGCAGCCCCATGTATTCCTTCGGCTCTGCGTACCGAGTCCGTCGCTGCAGGACAGCGAACAAGGGGCCTTGTAGTCTTTATCACTGCAATGTCAATGAATGACTAAATGAAATTCTGTCTATGACTAAATAAAATTTTTAGGGCCCGGCGGCGTGGCCTAGCCGCTAAAGTCCTCGACTTGACCGCACCAGGATCCCATAAGGGCGCCGGTTCTAATCCCGGCAGCTCCGCTTCCCATCCAGCTCCCTGCTTGTGGCCTGGAAAAGCAGTCGAGGACGGCCCAAAGCCTTGGGACCCTGCACGCATGTGGGAGAAGTTCCTGGCTCCTGGCTTCGGATCGGCATAGGATCGACCGTTACGCTCACTTGGGGAGTGGATCATCGGACGGAAGATCTTCCTCTGTCTCTCCTCCTCTGTATATCTGACTTTCCAATAAATAAAATTTTTTTTTTTAAAAAGCAATTTTAAAAAATTTTCTTTTTAAGATTGTTTACAGAGCTGAGAGGGACGCATGCCCATGTGGAGAGAGTCACATATGGAGGGAGGCGGGTGGGGCAAATGTTCCAGGTTTTGTGTTTCTCAGGGAAGAAAGGGAATGGGGTTGCCGTATCAGCGCCGGGGATGAGGGCTGATCCGGTAATGACACACCTTACAGAGCCCAACGTGGGGAGGAGTGTTCCCAGGTTACTTGAGTGATTTTGGTAGTTCTGACAGATGATTGGTTTTGTTGCTTCAGGGTTAAGAAATTTTTTTTCAATGTCTTTACACATTTATTGATTGACAGAGTCCATCTTAGTGCATTCCCAGATGTAGGAACATGCTGTAAGCTTGGCCAGAAGAACTGTTCAACCTGTTCTGCTTTATTTCCATCCTCTGATGAGGCAGTCAACATCCCCTGCCGGCCTAGGTGAGCTGGCCGTCACATCCCCCATGTGCTTCCGGGCAGGCTGTCCCCGTACAGGCATCAGCAGCTGAATCAGTTCTGATACGCGCATTCCAAGGTCAGCCCATAAATCCTGCGATTTTGCCTGTGGTTAGAGTCTGAGTCCAGCAGTCTAGCTGGGGAGTCTCCCAAGAAACCTCACCTCGGGTGACCTCAGACTTGATTCTCGTGTGTGCCAGCCAGTGCAGGGTCAGATTTGGTCTGTCACCTGCACCAGCCAATGCGCATACAGTCGGCAGCTGCCTGGTAAGTTCCCCCCCCCCCGCCCCAGCCCGACATATCTGGTGAAGCGATGGGTGCTGTGGGCTGGACCAGCCTGCCACAGACCCAGTTCTCATGCCTACCAGCGGGCGCCGCAGCCTTGCTTGGGCAACCCAAATAACCTCCACCAGGCCCATTACCAGCTTCGCTTTTCTGCGCATGCCAAAATCTCTCCTATCTTACATACATACTGGATTAATTAAATAAGAGTTTATTAAAACAAGAGAAGTCTAGGGAAGCTGAAAAACCACAATAACAAGTCAGTATTTAGTGTCACTCCCCCAAAACAAAAGCCTTTATTGGAAAGAAGACAGTTCCTTGTACATTGTTGCCCAGCCTATCTAGAGAGTTGATGTTAGCGGATTTGCTCCAAAAGGGAAATATGTAAAAACTGTCTTAAGGTGAGTTGAAGCACAGACCTAAATAAATAACCTGGAAAAGTCACCAAGGGCTGGGTGGCAGTCCTGGTCTCCCCAGAGCACTGCTATGCGCAGTGCCTTGGCTCGGAAGGTCTGCTGCAGATGCGTGGTGGTCGGAGCCTGGTTTGGAGGGCATGTGGGATCACTTCCAGTCAGGAGGAGAAAATAGAAGAAATTGGGGAAGGAGGAGTATTTTAGGAGAATTGTCCTAAGCCAGGCCCAGAATCCTTCACGAATAAACTCTTAAAATTCCACGGCAGGCTCCTTAACTTCTCCATCTCCCACAAGCAAGTGGGACGGTAAACAAACAAACACTGATACCTTTGGTGAAAGTTATGCTAATGAAGGTGTCCTTATAATAACTTTTTTTTTTTTTTTTTGCTTCATTAGGGCTGTTTTGGAATATGCATTTCAGATGTTTGAACTGAGTGTTTGGCTTGTTCTGCTGACTTGCTTTTCAGGGCTGGCAGAAACACTGAAGTGAGGTTGCTTGCCAAAGACGAGAAGCGTGTGCAATGCGCATGTGAGGATACAGTTCCACACGGTCAGCGAGCCTCTGCCCGCCCCGCCATGGCCAGGAGCTCCAGATCGGAAGCTTGAGCTGTTTTCTAGAAGGCTTTTCCCCTCCGTGGCTGAGGCACCCCCTCCGGAGCTGGCTTCCTCTGCTGTGCTGCGCGGGCGGGAGGCCTGCAAGCTGCAAGGAGCTGATACTGACGCCAGAGGCTGAGGGCCATGGTTCCGGACAGGCCATCGTTTGTCCTTGCTCTCCACGGCTCCCAACGGCATCCCGGAGAGAAGAGCTGCCGGATGGATGCCACGCGGGTCGGCCGCGAAGCGGGTGCCAGCGCCCTGAGGGGAAAAGGATCCACAGGAGCAGTGTGCCAGTGCGGAGGGGAACGAGGGCAGCTGCGGTTCTGAGAACAAAATCCAGCGGGGCAAAACACAAAACGACGGAGGCGTCGCC